ACTTTACGCAACCTTCTGCGCTTTGGAGTAGCCTCTGCAGGGCTCTCTGGAATTGCAGCCTCTGTGACCACAACCTCTGCGGGTTGGGCCTTCTTTGATTTTTTTTTCTTTTGTTTCTGCAGAGGAGTTAAGAATTTGCGCACTTTTGCTATCGAGATAACGACGACATGCCCTTTCCTCCTTTCCTGTAGACAAGCACCATCATTGCTCGACAAAAGAATTCAGATTAACTTCTTGGAGCACATGATATCAGATTTGGTTTTCTACCAACTAATTCATTCTGATTATAACATCAAAACACCCAATAGGCATCGGTAAGAGATTCACCAAAAATTCCTTTCCCCCGATAACCAAAGCACAAGCTTTAAGAACTTCCTAAATGGTAATTTGGCTACCGTTAGATATCTCTACAATCAAGGTATCATCTAGCATGCTAACAAGCATAGACATATTTTTGCAAAAAGAATCTGATACGAAAGAATAACTTGCACCGAGTCAAATAAGATACAAGCGGTTACGAAGTTAACGAGGAACGTACCATAAACCACATCCGCCGACACCTTAGCCTCATTCGTTGTCATCTGGAAAGCTCTCCCTTGAACCTTTGGAGGGTTCTTCTTCTTTCCTTGACTATTTCTTGTCTTCAGTTTTAGACAATTGTTTCTCAATTTACTCGACTCCTTGTACTCGAAGCACACTAGCCCCTTGACTGGGCAATCTTCAAAAGTGTGATCGGACTTGCCACACCTGTAATAAGGCTTGGTCATTGAGTTGCAAGGGCCAATGTGCTTACTTCAGTATTTGGATCACCACCTAGCCTCACGCCTATAGTCGGCTCCACAATTGTGGTTGAATGGTCTTGGTTTCTTGAAAGATCCCAAATTTCCTTCCCATATTTTTTTCTCACCAACTACAGACATCCCCTCTTTCTTTCTAGCATAAATATCCTTCATGAGTTATGCCTCATTAATTGTCTCAAGAATGGTAGAGGACTTAGCATTTTTGGCCCATGTCATCATGTCTGTCGGCAAGCCTTTGAGGTAGGCCTTTACCTTCTCTTTCTCACTTGGTGTCACATGCCCCACAAGATAAAACTTCTCCATGAAGAGACAAGAATACTCTCTTACTAACATGTTCCCTTTCTTGAGAGCCCATAATTCATCTTTAATCCGGTCGATATGAGGAATAAATCATATAAAAAAATTCTATATGAGGAATAAATCATCAAAATCTACACATTTTATTTTTTTTAGTGTCAAAATGCCCAAAAGCTCCAAATGTTTGTACTTCTCAAGATTTTATAATCCAAATATACAAAATATGCAATTTATCCAAATATACAAAATATGCAATTTCATCAAGTACCCAATAACATTTGATAAATCTTGTGAAATACACTTTAAAACTCCAAAATACACATTTTTGGCATGTATAAAGTTTTCATAAAGAAATTTGAACTCACCTTGCTAGGTTAAATCAAATATAGGTTCCAAACCCAAATCTTTAGCTTCCAAAGGTGGAGACTTGCGATCCATAAGTTGGACTTCCAGATCTATGGTGTAAATATTTCATGTAAAATATTACAAGAACACTTTCTTGGAATCCCAAGATCTAACAAAACACCACGATGAGGAGAGAGAGGTTGAGGATGCAAAAATACCAAACCTTAGGTCAAGAAACATGGATTTAGATCTTACCTTCCAACTTCTAGGAACCCCAAATCATCAATGGAAACTTCAGACTTTTTGTTACCATTTAAAAATCTTCAAAATACGAAATCGTAGCCTCTGAAATTGCCCAAATCGGCTAATAGACGAGAAAGTTATGACCAAATGAAGAAACCCTAAAAATCGTGTTTTTAACCCTCAGGAGCTGCAGGCGACTTGTGAAGCGACTTAAGTCTCTTGGGAAGTCTCCTGAACACAAAATTCAACTTTCCAGAGTTCCAAGCGACTTAAGTCACTTGGCAGCTAGTTTGGCACTTTATTTTGTGTTTTTTAAGTTGTTTTGTGACTTTTCGTGCAATCAAACTTGCATAGGAGGTCCCTTAATCCCCCAGATGGCTTTTTATACAACTTTTCTTTATCCCAACTCAACCACAAACCTGATTTAAATTCCACAATTAGTCAATAATGACTGGATACCGAATGGTTTACAAAAATAAATCTACACCCTTAGACAATTAACCGCAGAAACACGAGTGTTACACTTTGGTGTTTTTAGACTTTGATAGTTTTGGTATCTTTGGATTTTTTTTTCATTTATTTGTCAAAAACTTAGAAGCTAAAACTTTGTATTATGGAGACTTAGAGTTTGCTTGTCCACAAGTATATATACAAGTATTGGAATATTTGGAACTTGGAGCATTGGAATATTGAAATTTGTCTCTTGTTGTGAATCTTATTTTTAAGATTAGTTAATGGTTCACTTTTTAAATCATATCACTTGTATATTTATGGGTATGATTTCCAAGAATCCGAAGTTCTACCCATGTCCAACAGAATTGCGTAAAACATTTAAGAGGCAAACAATGCAGTCATGGAGATCGGAGAGTGTGGTTGCAGACTCGAGAATATAAGATGATACATGCAATTACAATGCTATGCGTAATCCTTCATGAATTGCAATTACCTTTTTTTTTTTGGATTTTAACATGTAGATGCAAAGATGCTTCATGGGATAATATCATGATGGGAATACCTTTTTTGTTTTTTTAAATCCATGTAGGGCCTAACCAAAATCCTATCCATCTTCCCATCATACCCTCTTTTGTTTTTTTACACAAGCAATATGATGCCCAACTTGAACCCTCCCGAACCCGTCCTACACAATTTCCCCCAAACCTAGTCAGATCCTACCTTGAGATTATACAGTTTGCCCCTATCTACCCCTCCCCAAAATCCGATCAGATTTTACCACTTTTTGTCCAAACCTGACCAATGCTCCCTGTTGGATCGATTAACTCAGATTCTTGGTAAAGATTACTTACTTGGATGATCTGTTTAACAGTGAGAATGCAGCGGAAATAATAATAATCAACCAAAGTAGAAATCAATAAAAACACAGATGAAGATTAATGATGAACACAAGAGAGAGAGCTTCAAATGATTTTCAATTAGATGAAAATATTAACAATTACAATACTGAAGCACACTGAAATACAAGGCCCTACGCTGCTATTTATACAAGTCAATAACCGTTTTCTGACACGACCTAAAGTAAATTAATCTAAGTTGTTCGATCAAAATAAGTTACAGACAAGAACACGTGATAAGCACGAGTAGCTAAAAGACCTAAGTAAAACAGCTAAAGAGGATCTATACAGAAGACATGCTGCAGACCCTCTGTGAGACATCACAGAGGCTCTGCTGGATATAACTTGAGAGCACACTTGACGTAGAAGAAAACTTCCAGAACCTCTGTGAGACACGACAGAGGTTCTGTCGTCTTTGTCTTGAAGCATTGTCTTTCCAGAGGACCAGTTTCCAGAACCTTTGTGAGACACGACAGAGGTTCTGTCACTTGGGACTTGTACGCTTGAGCATCTTCTGCAATTGGTCCTCTGTGGTCTTCTGTGATAGATCATCTTCTGTCAACCCTTGCAGTATTACTTTTTCCATACTTTTACATTTAAAGAAATGAGAGCTAACACTCCCCCTAACTGAGTTCTCGTTTAAAACTTCATAGTAAGTTTATTTATTTAGACTTCATTGTAAGAAAATTTCAAGTTGAGGATTATTATACTTAATGTGATGAGTCAATGACATTTTATATGGAGAATCATGTTTATATGATGTGAGAATTTGCATGGATTTGATGGTGTTACATGCCCGGTACATGTTGTAGACTTGTCACTTATTTATGGATTTTGGCATGCGCCCATTATATTAGTATATGTTCAAGTTTCCTTGCAAAAAAATTTGTTACGCTTAGATATACTTCTGGATGATTGAGTTCATTTACCTCTTTTTGCCCGACATTGAGAACCCCACTATTGTATAACTCGTAAGTATCTCGTAAATGCCACGATTGACAGTTTACATGTAAAATAGAATAAGACATTCACTAACTTGACACTGTCGGAAGTCATGATATTGTAATACATTGCAGAAAAATGTGCCTTTGGCCATCTCTCTGGGCTAAACTTGTCCATCAATGGAGCATCATCAGATACAATGTATCGTAGAATCTACATGAGGATGTCAAAGTTTGACATGATGAATGCTTTGCATGTACTCAAAAATAATTGTTTTGGGGCCTTAACTCGTTTATCCTTTGTGTGCACACCTTATCTGTCAATTCTTGATCAAATTCTTCCTTATCGGACACCTCTTTACAAATCATCAAATGAGATCGGACAATGCACTCACCGGATAGCTTTTTATCGGACAAGTCTTATCTGGTAACAAGATGAACAAGTCTTATCGAACAAGTCTAATCGGACACTGCTTTGATACGGCTGAGTTTCAAGACTATGCGACTAAGAGTTGGGACTAGCCGCATGTCATCTTTCTCGTACGTTAGATACCCGTATAACCATAAAACACTTTTGAAGTTTCTAATTCCTTAGCTTTTCAGTTCCCTCCCCCTATGTGGTCGGCCTTATTACCAGTCTGTCTCCTTTTTCTTGATGGGAATGATGGAGCTAATCTGCTTGCTTGTGATGACTGCCTTTTCTTTTATCGGTGTGATCCTTGTCTTTAGCTTGGTTAGGAGGCTTATCACTCACAAGATAGACTTTTAATACTTTGTGCATTAAAAAATGTTTTTAATACTTTTGATAAATCTGGTTTATAAGGCGGTATATAGATTTTAACATATAATTAAAAATAATAAAATAATTTTAACTATTTTGTGAGAATAATTAACATTTATCTAAAACTGTAATCTCTAATCTCTATCTATAAACACGTTTGTCCAACAAAAGTAACCCTTCCTTAAATTTCCCCCAAATCCCCCCCCCCTCCCTTCCCACTCACACACAAATACACATACAAAACCCCTCTCTATAGACATCATCAACCGGCGAATCCAGTCGCCGCCGTCGTTAAATTCCGTCGTCTAATCCTACACCTCTCGCGCACTTTAGTGTCCTTTGATACATACACAAAGCTTCTCTTATACTTTCTTTTTTGTCTTCTGTGTCAAGAAATCATTCGTCGTCGGCGAGTGTTTCTCCTCCGAGAAGGTCTTTTCTCCGACGCCTTCCCGATTGCTAACGTGCGCGGTCTTTTGTCGTCTTCTTTTCTGTCCCTATACAGACGCACATAATATATATATATATATGTATGTATAGATGTACATATGTCTGTGGGGCCTTACTTCTAACGGTGAGTCTTCTCAATGAATTTTAATACCGTTTAGGAGTCAGTCACTCTCGTAATCGTTAAATTGTGTTTTCTGGTTGGAATTCATGACCTAATATACTGTTTTTCGTTCTTGATTTAGGAATACCTGTCCTCTTCTAGGTTTTTGATGCTATATGCACGTAGAGTATCCGATCCATTGTTTGCACTGCCAACCGATTGGATTTAGTTGTTTTTGGATTTCGTTTTGTCTTGATGTCCATTCAGGTTAGGTTTTGATTCTTTTGTTTCCTTTTAGGCATTTCACTTGAAAATTGAAGCTTCTCTGATTAAAATTTATTGGATGTTTGAGTGTCAGTTGAGATATAGAATTGAAGTTTGAGTTTGTTTTTATTGGTTGACGATTGATAATAGACTATATTTATTTTGCGTGTTTGATTGTGTTAAGAGGATTATGAAAGAAGGCGGGAAATTTATATGAAGCACTGGACACGGAGTTACTGAGGTTTTAGGTGACAGGGAGAATGGCCTTTTTTAGAAACTACACAAATGGAACAGTCTCAGAGGATGTTTTAAATGACAAGAGCCAACATGGAAGCATTGATAGAGCTGACAACAATGTAGGCAATGATGACTTGGATGCAACTTCAAGTTTGGATAAAGAGTTTGAAACAAAGATGGAGGATCAACAGTATGGGAGTGATGGTGAACCATATGCTGTGAGTAGGTTGCAAGACGATCCGGCAGCAGGGGATGATGGTGGTTTATCAAATTTACAAGCTTCTACTACGAAAAAGGCAGCTGGGAGATGGGGCTCAACTTTTTGGAAGGACTGTCAACCCATGCATCAAAAACGTGGGTCTGAGTCCATGCAGGAATCAAAGAGCAGTTCTGGGTATAAAAATGAAGAAGGGTCTGAAAATGACTTGTCAGAAGTGGACAAAGCACATAAAGGTCAAAATGTGGATGAGATGCTGTCTGATGATTACTACGAGCAGGAGGAAGATGATCAAGGTGATCCATTGCACCGCAAGCTGTTAAATAATACCGATGGCTATAGTTCAAAATCACGTTCAGGGCTTATTGCAGCTTCTACTAACAACTTCATGCCTGAGAAGAAGTCAAAAGCTTCATATGGTGGTGAATATGAAGACGATGATGCCTATTTCGAGGATGAGGAAGATGATGTAGATGGTAACTTTATGTTCTGTACTATCCCAATTTTATATAATCTTCAGGCTAGGAATTAGATTTTACCTGTTCCGTTAGTATATTCATTTTCCCTAAAACACAGCTTGCTTTCTTTGACTTTCTGCAGAAGATGACCCTGATGATGTAGATTTTGATCCAGACTTGGGCACTACAACTGTTGGAAGAGGGAACAAGGTTGTTAATCATACATTATTTCAGCCGTTGCATTTTCTCTTTATTATGTCTTTTAATGCTATTCTTTAATTTTTTATCGACTATACTTTCTGCATACATAGATTCATCCTTTCTGTTTTAAGATGCTTGTTATTACGGCTTATAATTGCTTCCTGCCCTTTGCATAAATCATCACTGGTGCTACATTTTTGTTTTTATAAGCTGTAGGTTTTTTCTTTTCCTCTTTTGGGTTTTTAAACATTCCATGTCATTGCAATGCATTGATGATTTGTAGATAAAAAAAATTCAATGCAATATGGTAACTGTAGATGTATGTAGGTGTAGTTAATTTGGCATGTCAAAGTGGGCTGTGAAAAGGTGGAGATGAGGTGAGTGCCGAAGGTTGCTTAATCATGATCTTTTTGCCAGTTGTATTTGTTGTTGATTATCAATTTTATTGGTTTGAATCATTGGCAAGTATATTTGATGATGGCAGGTGCTACCATGGCACATTAATGTTGATGGAATACTAATTCACTTACATTTAGTCTGCCATGTTACATTACGTGCAATTTGATGCATAGGGTTAACTTGAGATAGTATGAATAGAGGCACTTTGTATTTACTTTGAATTAAGAGCGAGGTCATCTGATGATCTGATCAAACACTTATTGGTTATAGGACTTGGACGTCTATGATTTTGAGGGAAAGCTTTTTACAACATTGAGTTATACAATATGGGTAAAAGTGCTCAAAGATACTAGTGGTTTGTGGTAAATCTAAACCACATGTGGAGGCTACACATTGTACCAGGAGAAGCGTCCACCTAAGGATGGATAAAATGCATTCTGCCTTCATTTGTTTGTTGTCTTGCTAAGCGGGGATTAAGGGACGTTTAAGCAGACACATAAGTGGTTTTTAATTTTTATAAATATATATGATACAATCAAGGTTGTAAAGATAGGAAACACGTGAAGCCTCGAGGCGGAAAATAAAATTAAAGAAAAACATTTATATGCATGTAATACATATTTAATGATAATATCTAAAATCACAGTGTTGTTAACAAGTCTGAAAATATATTAATATATGTAATTAATATTTAAAGATTTCGATTTTCAATTTAGTGTTGTAGGCTGTCCTTTCTTGTGTGGTTTCTTGTACATCCCAGTTGGAATAGGAATTTATACTAGGTTCTGTTACCATACATGAATATATGATAGCTGATCTGAATATACTCTTAATGTGCAAAATTTATTTACTTCTTAATTCTAGTGCTTTTTGCCATATACCGATATACATACCAATTCATATCACGTAGTCAAATCACAGTACAAAAGTGGACAAGTTTGACTTACTCTAACTGACTATTACTGGTCACATGACATACAAGAGTATGTGCATCAGTGCATTTATAAGCCTATCCGACATGCCAAAACAGATAGGCACAATCTGTTAATCACATTGACCGACTCCGGACTTAAGTTAACAACTGTGAAGTGAACAAATTTTCTGTTTTTCTAGAGTCCATTTTATGTTCCTGATCTCTTTTTATTTGAGTTCTGAATTATGGATGACAGAGATGTACTTTTGATATTTGCATATCATTTTGTTTCTGATGAAATATGCTGGTATCATTAAGTCATTTTATTTTATTTACTTTTTATGGTTGGCTTGGCCGCAGTTTCTGCTGAACTTACATTTTGGATCCTCTCTAGGAACACGATGAAGACTGGGAAGGTGGAGACTTAGATGAAGTTGATAACTCTGATGATGATGAATTAGACATATCGGATGGTGATGATGATGATTTTTATAAGAAACCAAGGGGCATGCAAAGGCGGAAGGGTGGGCGTAGTAGTGTAAAGTCTAGTAGTGAACCTAAACTATCTACATTTTCCAATCGGAGGAAAAGAGGTAGAACATCATTCGAGGAGGAATACTCATCAGCAAATGATTCAGAGGATGATGACGAAGAGGGCTTCAAAAGTACAGGAAGGAGAAGCGGACATATCCGAAAAAAAGCTGGTGGTCGATCTATTCCTACAAAAGGTCCTGGAAGCAACAATGAAGTTCGAACTTCAACTCGATCTGTGCGCAAAGTATCGTATGCTGAAAGTGAAGAAAGTGAAGAACATGATGAAGATATTAAGAGAAAGAGGCAAAAGGTGCGGAATATCAGTATGTGCACATCATTGAATTCCCTATAGGCATTCCAGTTTGATCCATCATATGGTGTATGGTTTTAACCATCACATCTTTAAAATATTCGTCACCGTTTTATAAGCTTCAGGTGGAGTGCCTCTTTTATGCATGCGACATATTCTGATTAAGTTATCTCCCAATGTTTCGATTATCCTGATGCTATTCCTTGAGGTCCATCTAGCTAGTTTTTGTTGGTTAGAGGTGGCTTTTGAATGCACATGCTGAAAATCTGCATGCATAGATATAGGTTGAAGGATGTTTATGCATGATTTTGTATAGAAAAGAATGTGGCTTTCATCTCAATTTGTACAACAAGCTGAAGTTTATATCATAAAAATACTTGTATCTTGAATTTTTGATGTAATACTGATAGTTGGTGGTGATCTGCTATTTTCAGTCCGTACAACAAACTTGATTTCATATGATGACAATACTTGTATCTTGATCTAATGCTGGGGTATTTGGTGGTGATATGCATGAACTTATGTGTTTAGGCCGATTGATCTGGGCCAGTAAATGCTTTAGGTGGAGACATGAGCTGTTGAAAATTATGGAGTTGGGATCTTGAATTCATTCAGTTAGAATTGTCATCTTTCCTTTTCCCTTCTGAATATTTCGACTTAGTAGTTTATTCTGTGTGCATATGGTGTGTGGCTACCAATTGGACCTTCTCTTTTTTCTTTTGGTATGCCTTCTTAATGTGGTATTCTTCTCACATTACATCACTCGCTGATAAATGTATTTATTATTTGTGAGGTTAGGAGGAAACTGAGGAGGAAGATGGTGACTCTATTGAGAAGGTGCTCTGGTATCAGCCAAAGGGAATGGCTGAAGAAGCTGTACGGAACAACAAATCAACAGAGCCTCTATTGTTGAGTCATTTATTCCACTCAGAACCAGATTGGAATGAGACTGAATTTTTTATCAAATGGAAAGGCCAGTCACATTTACATTGTCAATGGAAATCATTTTCTGAGTTGCAAACAGTAAGTTTATGTTTCTCTGTGTTTCTTTTGGTACAGTAAGGTGTTTGACATTGTTAATATTTACCTGTTTGTGACATTACATTTCTGTTCTGATTTTCATTATCTCTTTTCATGATCAGTTGAGTGGCTTTAAGAAGGTTCTGAATTACACCAAAAAAGTGATGGAGGATATCAAGTACAGAAGAACAGTCTCTCGTGAGGAGGTAATGTTGGTTTTTTCCTTTCTTAGTAAAATATATCTTAATGCTGTTTGGTGTACTAGAGAGATCAAACAATCTTTAGTATTGTGTGGGGGAGACCAAACATTAACCTATGGTTACCTTTGAATAATGTTCAGTTACATGCATACATGATGCATGTATGTGTCATTGTATCTAAGGTGATTTGTTATTGCTCCATTAAAAATGGGACACTGTATACAGAGGAACAAAATTGCTTAATCTTGGGATTTAACCTTTGTAGTGTAGATTTACGAATCTGAAAACATGGCATGCGTGAAATATTACACAGGGCAATACAAATATTTGTAGTTGTTGTGTTGATATATTCCAGTTGATAGTGATCTCTTTATGTAGTTTAGGTGGTTCATGTACTAATGGCTTAAGTGTGAAGGTTGCAAAGAATTTTGACTTGCAATATTTTACCGAGGACTAGCTGAATTTAGTGAATTCTTCTTGTTCCCATTGGCTCATAGGCAAGCTTTTTACAAGTGCAATTGCAATTCAGGTGCAAGTGTAAAGCAGATTTTCGCTGCTTGATATCTACCTAAATGTGGAAAGAACAAAGAAAAAGAACAAAGTACTGAATTATTGAAGGAAAAACTTAGTGGTGTTGCTCTTTCATTGGATACAATATTTACGGGAAGGAAAGGATCAGGTTGAAGTAATGTATATTGGTCTGTCACACACCAATAGCCAAGTTAGACAAATGAACCCACATTGATCCTCTTTTCTCTATGATCATCTGTTTCCTCTTGTAGTGGACTTACCAATAATGTAATGCAATTATTTGGTACCATGTAATTTCTCAACAATGATAACAGGATTAGAGATGATTATATATGGGAGAAGGCTGGGATGAACCAGTGAAGGAGGATTAACTGCAACACAGCTCGAGATGATTTGGTCACTTCCAAATGTGTATCTTTGAGTGGACAAGTTAGAAAACAAGACTCACACCTAGAGGAGGCTGTTAGGAGAGGATAGGTTTGTCGAAATTGATACGTCAATGAAGAGAGTCTTAAGTGAGTAGCAAGCAAGAGTTTGAATTTAGGAGCACATGAAGGATGCTATTCATGTCTGGATCCTTGGGAATTCATCACAATTCATGGATTTTCACCTTCTTAAAGCTGCCAGTAGGTTCCATTACTAGCCTGCTTCAACTAGTTTGGGATGAAATTTGTATTTTTGTTGTATGTGCATCCAGGATTTTGACTTGGAGTGAAGAGCATAAGCCAAGCAACATATATACAGGCAATATAGTGGACAGGGTGCGTCATAATCTGCCATTGATTGGTCTGGGAATCATGGCATATACCTATTGTTGCCCTCTCGTTGCAAGTGTCATTATAGGCAGTGCAGTCATCGCTTCCAAGTCTTTTAGGTTACGTTGGCTCACATGAAAGTTCGTGGTCTCTTTTTCCTCTAAGGTCCTACCTGATTGTTTTCTTCAAACTAAAAGAATTCTGGTGCAAACAGTCTGCCTACCTTTGTCCAGCTGCATTCTATGAATAGTTCTGCTTTGTGCATGTGTCAAAGCAACTGCCTTTTTAAGGTGATCTTAAGTATTCTTAACAAGGCAAAGGCATTATTTGACTTTGTCAGAGATGGATGTGAACTATCCAATTTTTTTCACGGCATCACAAAATGGGTAATAGCACCACACAAAGAGAAGTCTCTAATGCCTCTTTTTGTTAAATTGCAGTAAAATCGCTGTTTCTGTTTGTCAAAAGACACCGTGGTCTATAATGGTATGATGATAACACTAGTTGTGTTTGTTCCAACATGTCTCCTTAGCCTACTTGCCTAGGTGACAAGGTACTGGAGGTCTTTTCAAGTTACAAGCATTTACAAGTAATCCTTCATCGTAGATTTTTAGGCGATTCTGAAGAATAAAAATCTGCATCAAAACTTGAAACGACAACATAAAAATGAAGAAAGCAACGGTAGTGTGTTTTCTGTCTGATAAGTTCTCCATTCTTGTAGATTTTCTCTGAAGTTGGTAATTATTTTTTTAGGTCATCTTTACTTGAAAGAATATTTTGAACAAGTGCTTTGATGAATCAATACAATTAGAAATAACATGACAGGAGAAACAGCATATGGTAGTTAATCAAGAGGCTAATAGAAGTGGAGAGAAAAAATGGACTAACCTTGAAGCCTGGATCTCAATGAATCCTCGCTTGCTGCTTCCTTATATTCATGTCTATTTTAATGTAGGGAGATTTTGGCCCTTTTTGTTGTTTCTGTACTCACCCTATATACGTTTAGACAAACACACGCCACGAGAGCGACTGCTTTCCATCACTACCGAAGGAGGATTTTCTAGCCTTTTCATCGGTGCCTCGACACGGTTTTGTAGTGAGAAATTGACAGTTTTGTAGTGAGAAATTGACAACTGGGTCAAACTTTTAATTGCTCTCGGAGTTTGATTTCGAATTTGGTAGTTTGGTGTAACTTGCTATTAAATATATTTGTTGTGTACTTGTGGCCATTCCTGAAAAAAGAAGAATTCAAACGACACTGTTTGATGGCCATCACTAAACATTCTTCTTCCTCAAGTTGCTGTGCCAGTTTATACCAGTTGCACCAGGGAAGGGATTATGTTGAAGTATGTTTTCCATGGACAGATTTTTGCAGGGTTCAATAGCTTCACACTTCTTGCAGCCCCAATAGTCAATGCCACATGTTATGACTTATGAGCTTTGTATTTATTGACCTGTTTTTTATGCTTTAAACTGTATATAAATCAAATACCACTGCTGGCAGAGAGAGAGAAGGGGGGGGGGGGKGAACTTCTGGTCTATGCTGTTAATATCGCGATATATCGGCGATATATCGGATATCGGACCTAGGCAAAATATTGCTGCATAAATATCGGTCAAAATATCGTCCCCGATATTATCGGCGATATTTTTTGATTTTTCCCGATATTTAGCGATATTTTGATGTATATATCGGACCGATATATCGATTTTTAGGGTTCAATTATTTGGGCTTTTGTTATTTCATGGGCTTAGTTTTTTGGACTTGGTAACATATATTATTAGGTCTGAAATTAATAGTCTGCTTTCCAACGGTCTTCTTCCTTTCTTTTCATCTTTACGAGTTACGACTTCACACTTCACAGACACCTAATTCACTTCACGAATCACGACTTCAGACTTCTCACAACTTCAGACTTCTCACGGAGTCACGGTTTGGCTTCTTTTCTCGGATGCTGAACTTATTGCTTGCGATTAGCTCGTTTTTGAACACTTTAGATGATGTGATGTTTTAATTTTGAAACTATATTTCTAAACTCTAATTAATGCATATTATATATATAATTCTAAGAAATATTATGTTAACCACTATTTTGGACCGATATATCACCGATATAACCGATATATCGAATATCGGTCCTGACCGATATTTTGTATTCTGACCGATATAACAGCATAGCTTCTGGTAAAGTAGTTAAATGTACTTTCCATTTATCAAAAAATCTATCAATATGGAAATCTAATTTGAGATAGGTGGATCCAGAACTGATTTTAGAAATTTGTCTGAGATCTTGTATTCGAGTGACATTTATTATTCACTTACCTCCTTCACATTTGGAGGTCAAATACAACTTCTTCTGATTGATATTGCGGCACTCTAGAGACTTTTGATTTAGTCACATGCTACAAAATCTTTTTCTTACATCCCATATAAACATGTTGCCCTTCTTGAAGCATCGAAATCAAGGAGTATTATTTTTCTTGTGACTTGGTCTTTTAATTGTTCTTTTTGTGAATTTATGAATCAGCATTATATGCTTGCAGATGCCATTTTCATTAAACCATGTACCATTTTGTAAAAGTGTGGCACTTTCTTATATTGTTCTGTAGTAATTTTCCTTGTTGAGGATTGCCTTAGTTTTCTAATATTGTTTCTTTACTACTTAGATTGAGGTCATTGATGTGAGTAAGGAGATGGATTTGGATCTTATCAAGCAGAATTGTCAGGTTTACGTCTTATGTGATTTTGGTGATCTATTGCTTTCTCTTTTTCTACTCCTTGCTTACCTCAGATTGTTTTATCTGATGCATCTAGGTTGAGAGGATAATTGCAGATAGAATCAGCAAAGACGGTTCGGGAATACCAGAGTATTTGGTTAAATGGCAAGGACTCTCCTATGCTGAAGCAACATGGTATGTAGACGGAGTTGCTTTTTTGTTTGGTATTTTTGCAAATGTTTGGTTGCTTACCATTTTATTAATTCCAGCTTCATAGATTGTTTTTCACCTATGAATTGCAAGGTGATCCAATTATGGCAAAAATGTTTTTCATATTGAGAATTGATTTGTCCTTGCCCATTTCTGTCCTCAATAGGTAGGTATGAAGGCATACGCTACACCTGTCAATAGAGCAAACTAGAAAAACTGCCAATCTAACATTTAAGTTTGTGGAGGTTTGTATGGGTTGTTTAGTCAAAACTTGTTTACCACTTGAATGATAAATACAAAAGCATTAGAGTTGTAGTCTGCCATGACCACTTGTGGTCACATGCAGTGTTCTTTTATCAAAGCACCAAGTTTTTCATATCGTCATGATTGATATTGTGCTTCCTTCTTTCTGCTCCTCCCTCTTCAATTCCGCCTCAATGTGCGCCCTCTCTGCTGCATTTTACTTATCGTCATTTTTCTGTCTTGTTTATAATTAGCTTCCGTTACTGTGTTTAGACTAGCTCTCTGTTCTCCCAGAACAAGGAAGACATCTATATTTCCTCTGGAGTAAGATTAGAATTTTTTTTTCATATTACATGTCACATGAGTAAAATTTTATTTGGAGTTGATGAAGATTGATTTTGTTGTAGAGCTAAACTGATTACTACATTTTTGAATTTGAAAAATACCAAAGGAAGTGCGCAGGACCATTTGCGATCAAAATCCTATGACCATCTTCAATCATACGCCTTGACCATTTGCTACATATCTGGTACTTTCCAAATTCAAATTGACCCAGGCATTTTAATAATTGTTGCAATTTTCATGAAATGGTAGAATCACTTCATTTGTATAAAATAGAAATACATATTCTGTGTAAATATTGAAGTTCAATTACCTATTTGCCTCTATGCTATTATTAGAAAGATGGTTCTAGATCATTTTGGTCCATACGGTTTACTTCAATTTGAATGCAAAGTTAAGTAGGAGGATCTACTAAGATATTTGATTTGTATTCAACTATCATTTCTATTTAACCCACCCAAATGCTGCCTTGAGTATATGTTTCTCTTGTTTGACTTTCAAAATTTTATTAAATTTACATCGACACGTGGGATCAGGGAGTGAAGCTTTATTTTGTTTTCCATAGGTGGATGATTTTTTTTGTATGTTTGTTATTGTTTATTTCCTTTTTATGATCTCTCATAGTTTATGTAATTTATCGTGTTTGAGGAGTAGTGTGATGTCTATGCTTTCATAACCTTTTGGCTCTGCATTTGACTTCAATCGTTAGTAAAATATCATTTTGACGTCAGCTTCAGAATGCTTATATTTGGTGTTGTATGACATCTTCAGGGAGAAGTTTGTTGATATTGCTTTTGCCCAGGCAGCGATTGATGAATATAAGGTACTGGTTTAAGATTATGTGTTCAATGTGCCATATTTTATCATTTGTGTGATGTTCACATGAGAATTTTATCTTTTTGCTTGCCAGTTGCATATGTTAAGCTTCTTCGGTCGTATTGCAGTTAAATATTTTTCATGTAAAATTGTTACAAGTGTAAATATAGTTGATGCTCTAGTGTAGAAGCATAGGTTCGTGTTATGAGAAGCTACCATTCTACTTGTGTCTGAATATAACAAATGTTCCGTTTTAGAAATGGTGGTGTATGTTTGGCATGTCTGTTATGCAATTTTCTTACATTTAATATCATGCAAGCAAATATACCATTCAACATTTATGTAGCTTGTTTGAAGATCGTCCCCTAGCACTTTTAGGTCCTCAAATTTTCAATTTTGGAAACAGGCTCGTGAAGTTGCCCTGACAGCTGTACAGGTTAAATTGGTAGACTTCCAGCGAAGGAAGAGTAAAGGTATGCTGTTTGATCTTCACAATAATCTTTATTGAAAAGTCTTGTTCCACTGCACCAGGATAAGTTGGGATTTTTATTTTTCAAGTACTAGTGTTTCTAGCACATACTTGTATGCGGATTTGATTAGTTGAAATCCAGAGGAAAAACTATCATTGATGATGCCAACCCATGAGTTGTAGTGTCTTGATTACTTTGTTTATATGACAGTCAAAAGCAAATAGAAGGGTAATTTAGGATATTCTGGAAGTTGTGTAGCTGTCAGCCTGATAATCAGTTTCAGTTACCTCCAAGTAATTTGAAGTTTGTTTTTACTGAAGATAAACTTACGAAAAGATCTCACCCTATCTGAAATGAAGAATGCCAGTAATGATTTTTCTGCTTGCAAACCAAATCAACATTTGGGAAAGTAAGCATTTTACGAGAGACAATACTCCTGCACCCAATAACAAATGAGCCTTTTGAGATTTGGTTATGTGCTGCACTGTATCAACCTTACACTGTTTGGTGGTACTTAAGCATGCACCCACCATTTTCACCGTTTTTCATTCTTACATTTAAATTTATATAATAAATGAGAGTCAGTTATTATTTGTAGTTTATGAAGCTTACAACTCAAACCTTTTTATATGAAATCTGAACAATCTTGATCTTTTAGATATTTTGTGATGACAGATTCTACTTAGCCTTGATGATATACAAACCCTGACTGCTAGTGATTCATCTTTGAAGATGATAACGGATTTTCTTCATTCTTTTTATTTAGAGAAAAGGCTTGGGATTTATTCGCTTGCATCATTTCATTCTCATATTGCAATAGTATTGGCTTCATGTATGAAGTAGGCGGGCCATTGAGATCATTTTGGTGTAGAAAGATTTCTATGGTACATTTAATTTATGCTAAATGGATACATAGAACAATAGAGATAGAAGACGAAAAGATGTAAATGGAACAAAGTTACTGATTTTGGGATAGAGGGAGGTATGAGACCATAATAGAAGCCTTCACACAAGTGAATTTGAGGATGAAAAAAGAACATCACATCTTTAAACATATCTGAGCTGCTATCAATTATATATACAGATTTACTGTATATGGTATGCTATCCTGTATCGGGTCTTTGACCGGTAGCGTTGTATATCTATGTGAGTGTATTCTCTATTATTTATTTGTTGGAAGTAATGAAGTGGAGGTTTTGGATTTATGTTTATTTAGTTTCTCCTGCTGAAAGAAGATATATCTTTTGCTGTCCCTATCATGTGGAAGTTGAGAGGGCAATAATTTTGATGTGATCTTATACATATATTTTCTTTTGCTGACTACCAGTGACTGGAGCATAATCGTCTGTGTTAAAGTTTGTTCTTGTTTTTGATAGATAATATTACTTCTACTTTATCCCATAAGAAGACTGTTTACTGTTGCTCGTTTAATTCTCTTAAGAAACTGAACGATTGTTACTATGTCGAACTTCTGCATTCTGAGTTGCTGGCCTTCGGGTATGGTTGGTGAGATGAGGTTTTTATAGTAGCAATGCTTTTTTGTTGTTCTGCAAATAACTACAAATGCTTGAATATTGTGAAAATTAGGTAAAAAGTAACTAGCTACTGATTATTGTAATATTATTTTGTTTTTTTTTTTGGGGGGGAGGGGAGACTTGGAACATGTACACAAGTCTTTTCTATTGTAAAAGGAAGTTTTGATGCACAAGAGAGTTGGAAAACACATGATACAATGGGTTATTTGTAGAGATGCGTTACTTATATATTTGGTTATTGCTGTTCTTACTTACCAAAATTACTATTTTTTAATTGTTTATGTTTTCGCTTTTAGCAAGTTTGAGAAAGCTCGAGGAACAGCCTGAGTGGTTAAAAGGCGGTAAACTTAGAGATTATCAGCTTGAGGGCCTAAATTTTCTTGTTAACAGGTAGATTGTATGGACACATCTGGCAAAGAAAATTAAGTAGTACCCTAGGGTATGTTTCATCTGGAGTTGTGCTTATTAATGACTTTCACGTTGCAGTTGGAGAAATGATACAAATGTTATACTAGCTGATGAAATGGGCCTTGGGAAGACTGTTCAGTCAGTGTCTATGCTTGGTTTTCTGCAGGTAGTTATATGTTCATGCTTTGCTGTCTCTCTTGTCAATATGCTTAATGAAGCTTACTGTAGTTGGTTATTTTTTTTATTGATTCCACAGAATGCTCAACAAATTCATGGCCCATTTCTTGTTGTTGTGCCTCTATCAACTTTGTCAAATTGGGCTAAGGAATTCAGGAAGTGGCTTCCTGAGATGAACGTGATCATATATGTTGGAACTCGTGCAAGCCGAGAGGTAGGCTAATTGTTGTTGAGTGTGATCCTTTTATTATGTTTCATGTAAATTAAGTTACTATGTTATACTGCAGCATGACCATCATTTTGGTGGAAGTTATTTTCATTCCAGTTAATAATGAGCTGATTTCTAAAGTAATTCCCTAACTTAATATGGTTCTTTAGCTTATGTGAACTTCTTTCTTCAATTATTCTACTTAACCGAGGCTGATCCCAGAATCCTTGTAGTCTGTAGTCTACAATTTAAAGTGTCCTGAGCTTTAAATGATCATGAATCTGATCTACCCAGGCACTTCATGATGCCTTTGGAAGTTGGTAATAGTTGTAGAAGCAAAGTTGTTTAGTTCATGTCTTTTAAATTCAAAAGTTTAAATGCAATTCTCTGTTCAGTGGTTATTACGCCATCCAGGCAAAGCCATTGTTACAGATATAATATAAAATTCATATAGGCATGTTCTATTACAAATCTTCTCTTCTAAGAGTTAGTTCATCCACACGAGCTTGTGAGTATTCATTTAAAGCAGAACGTATGTGGTGATGTTGTAAGTGGTATTTATATTTTCTTAAGGTCTTAATTTAATTGAAATGTTCCTACTTTTTAATTTTCTTTTATTCTTCTTCTTCTTCTCCTCTTGTTTTCTCCTTTAATAGTTCCTTTTTTCCAGTGAACAGTTTTCTTTTCTTTTTATTTCGGGGAGCGGGTCTTATAAGTTGTACCTATATCTTCTTAAGGTCTGGTTGATTGTGTTTGATTGTTGGAACCAAGAAATTTCAGACTAATCATAAGAGTGCTTTGATTGGAGAGTATAACAAACTTTGTTGTGTTTAAAGTCATGTTTTAGCTTATATTTGTTGCCTATTGGTCTTTAATTGGGCTAATTCTAACCTTTTGATGTCGTTTTTTTATCTAGGCATTATAATATTTGGGAGAGTATTATGTGCTGCAGCTTGACTTTCTGGCACCAGCTTATTTGTACTTTTACGAGGATATTTTTTCTTGTAATTGTTTTTGTTTTGGTTATAGGTTTGTCAGCAGTATGAATTTTTCTCTGATAAGAAGACTGGCAAGGGTACAAAATTTGATGCTCTGTTGACTACATATGAAGTTTTATTGAAGGATAAGACTGTGCTTTCAAAAATTAAGTGGAACTATCTTATGGTTGATGAAGCACATAGATTAAAGAACAGTGAAGCTTCATTGTATACAACACTTAAGGTATCCACATGTTGTCTGTTCTTATTTTGCGACTTTTTCTTGTTCTTGCACAAGATGGGGGTCTTCATGGAAACAGCCGCTCTACTTTGTTGGGGGTAGAGGTGAGGTCTGCGGACATCTCATCTTCCCCAGACCATACTTTCGAGTGACATTTCTTGGGTCAGTTTGGTTTGTGTTCTTGATTCTTATTTTTTATGGCTTATTTCACAGGAATTCAGCACCAAAAACAAGCTTCTTATTACTGGAACTCCCCTGCAGAACAGCGTGGAAGAACTATGGTAATTGTTATTTGCTACAGGTGTTGGTCAGTACGGTTATGTGCTTGATGTATCAATTTTGGTGGTCTGTTCTCCTGTGATACAAGAAAAGGAATAAGGGATTTAAAAACCAAGAAAATATGACAACTTGTTATGTTGTGTTTATAGAGGGTTTGGGGCAAGCGTTAGATTAGATCAATCAATAATGTTACTGTTGTGACTGGAAGGTCAATTGTTCATATTCCGAAAACAACTTAGCAAAATGAAAGGGAAGTCTGCTGGAAGACTCTTCCCATCCCTTGCAGAGCCGAGGAAGATTTGGTGCCCTTAGTCCCCCTTTATGGGTGGAAAAGAATTTCTATTTTTCTTATCTTGACATAACATAAGGATAGCTAATCGTTAAAGAGGGGGCGTATTGAAATGAGTTGCAAGCCCTCTCGAGTATAATCTATAAAATAATTCTTGGAGTCATCTCAGATTTTACTACATCTTTGTTTAATGGCAGGGCCTTGCTTCACTTTCTTGATTCGGATAAGTTCAAGAGCAAGGATGAGTTTGTTCAGAATTACAAGAACCTTGGCTCGTTTAACGAAATTGAGGTAATCATCAACTATATAAGTGGTTTGATTGATTCTTCTCATTGTGTATCTATTATCCTCCAATCCTACATAGAAGAGAGAAAACCAGTGAGAAAATACAAAGCTGAAGTGTACTTTCTCTTTGAATAGCTTGCTAATCTTCATATGGAGTTGAGGCCACACATTCTCAGAAGAGTCATTAAGGATGTGGAGAAGTCTTTGCCCCCAAAGATTGAACGAGTTCTCAGGGTTGAGATGTCTCCTCTACAGAAACAGTAAGTTTCTTTCCGTTCCATTGTGTTCTGAGGATTTATCTGTCTAGTGGCTGACAACAGTCCCCTTATTTTCAGGTATTACAAGTGGATTTTGGAACGCAACTTTCACGACTTGAACAAAGGTGTACGTGGAAATCAGGTTAGAATTCATGCTCTTGAAGGGGTCTTTTTGTTTCCGTGCTGTCTTAGGTGTACCGTTTTAGTTATGATCATTACGCTGGTTTTGTTAATCCATGCCCCCAAATTGATGGTAGCATATTGTACTTTTTTGATTCACTTCAAGTACTAATTTGATGAAGAGGTCCAAACTCGAGTGAAGCACTTGTCCTGCTTTTATAGGAAGGATGCAAGAAAATAGTGGAAGAGAGTATGTAGGATTTAAGAAATATGATCATTTTTGCTTTAGACCATCTTCAATGAATGCGCCAAATTTCACTATACCTACTCTTTGCACTAAATCCTCTCTAACGAATGCACTATTTTAGTGTTATGAATAGTAAAACACCAAGTTTGGTGTAACACTATTCACCAACACTATTTTTTGGTAACGTTTTGGTATTTAAAAAATGGTCCTTCAATTTTCTGATTCATGTTTTTTTTTTTACTTTATTCATTGTCTAATACATTTTAATATATTAGGATTATATTAGTCTTTAGTTTTAGTAAAATTAATTTTAATGCTTTCAACAAATTTTAAATAAGTAATCTATGAATGTGATCTCGATGCACCTATTGAAGTTATGAGAGAAGTGTTGCCGATAGAGGTCGAAACAATGACAGTTGATAATGTTCTATCTTGCTTGATATAGATTTTTCTACCTTAGTTCTGCCTAGCTTATCCACAGTGGTTCAATCTATTTTGTAAGATATCTCTCTAGATTCTGACATTACAAATCAAGGATAAAGAAGCTCACGTTGCACTTTGGAATGCGTTAATTAATCATTTATTGGAAAGTATGCTAATTCTGTCTAAATGCATGTCTTTTATTTCTAGACGAGTGTTGAAAATGTGACCTTTTTATCTAGTGGACTTTTGTTTTGGATAATTTGATATAGAATTAATTATGAGCTGTAATATGGTTCAAATGGTATGGTAATAGAGGTATCATGAAATTATAAATATGGGTATAATTTCTAACGTTATTAAATATAGTAGTGTTGAGATCTATGTAATCAAGATAAAAAAGAACATACTTGGAATAGTATTTTTGATGTGAAAAAATAGTGTAATACATAAATGATTTACTGTTTGCACCAACTTTTTGCACCAAAATAGTGCATAATTTAGTGTTTTACATTGGAGATGCCCTTAGAGGGCGTAATATTTATCATCTTTTGTCATATTTCAACAAGTGAATTATTCTAAATAATTTGGTAATCCCCAGAAACTAAAATGTTAGTTATTTGGGTATATGGATTATTGCAGTTTGCTATTCGATATTCTGCTCTGTTAACCTAAAATCCTAAATACATGCATCTTGTAATGAAATTTAAATTTCATTGTTGTTTTATATTGTGATATATCCTATTGAACTTAGTATTATCATCTCATGAAGTTGTTTCACTGTAAATTCATGTTCTTCTAGGTCTTACTAGATTTTTTGATGCTCATGATATTAATTGTATCTGCCAGTTCTATCTCACAAAAATGTTAGCATCTTCATTTGGCCTTTCCTGGAATATAAAATTAACTTTTTGCAACTCTTGCAGGTTTCCCTTTTGAACATTGTGGTTGAGTTGAAGAAATGTTGCAATCATCCATTCCTCTTTGAGAGTGCAGACCATGGTTATGGTGGAGACTCTAGTACTACAGGCAGCAGTAAACTGGAAAGGATCATTCTTAGCAGTGGAAAGCTTGTTATCCTTGACAAGCTTCTTGACAGATTGCATGAGACGAAACACCGGGTTTTAATATTTTCACAGGTATTTTAATTGCTTTGCATGTATCTGTTGAGGAATGTTGCACGTTGGAAAGGAGGCTAGTTTTAGGATTGCTAGGTATAAGATTTTGTTTTGGAAGCATAATATATGTATCTTAATTAGCCTGGAGTTAACTATTTGTTGCTGTCTCCCCTTTGCATGGTACTCATACAGCATAGTTTGTATCATATTTTTTTGGTGGGAGATAGTAATAGGTGGTTAAATTAAATAAGGAAGTAGGGTGAGATGAGAATCCTTGTAAAGCTCTCATGCTTTTCTCTAGACTCTGATAGCCGTATAAGGAACAGTTATAGGTATTTACTTATTGGCTTCTTGCTTTATGCGTCACTGTCAATTTCTCATTCCTGGGGTCATCTTTTAGAGTTTTATACTTTGTGAATATTTCATTGTGATAAAAAAAAATTGAGTTCAAACTAGTGAACGTTTAAAGCATCCATTATCCTTGGTGTCTTTTTAGATGTGAAAATCTTGTCTATTTAATTGGTTGCTTAAGCATAAGGTGTCTTTCGCATCTCTGAATATGAAGCAGGATGATGCTTATCCTTGGAAATGCTACGTTGAACTAGCTGCTTTTTGTCTCAGAAGTTATGTCCTCTTAACTTGTTTGACAAGAGCAATATTGAATAGTCACATCCTTTTGTGTTGAGTTAAGTTATATGCTAAAAGCTGTCTTGTAGGTTTCCAACTTGGTATATATAAATACCAAATTATGTTTGTTTGGACAAGAAATGGATATAGTTACTTTATCCCTTCTAGTTGACTGGCTAATCTGCTTTTTTGTAATGCAGATGGTCAGGATGTTGGACATCCTGGCAGAATACTTGTCATTCAAAGGGTTCAAGTATCAGAGGCTTGATGGGAGTACAAAAGCTGAGGTGCGCCACCAGGCTATGGACCATTTCAATGCACCTGGTAGTGATGATTTCTGTTTCCTTCTTTCCACTCGTGCTGGTGGTTTAGGTATCAATCTTGCTACAGCAGATACTGTCATCATATTTGATTCAGACTGGAATCCTCAAAATGATCTGCAGGTTTGGGACTGTATGATTTGCAGTATGCCATCTTATTTATAGATTGCTTATTTAATGAAGTCTCTTCTCATATCGATCTATTTACTTCTGATTAGGCAATGAGCAGAGCTCATCGGATTGGTCAACAAGAAGTTGTTAATATTTATAGATTCGTGACAAGCAAAAGTGTTGAGGAAGACATCTTGGAACGTGCTAAAAAGAAAATGGTACATAAATTATTGGTTATTAATTTTTGTCCATTCTTGTCGCAGGCTACACACTTCTAATTTTTAATTTGCACCTGCTTTAAAAGTTCAAATGTTTATTGTATTGTGGATTGATGTGTTCTTTCTTTGGTGAACTTCGAGTCATGGATGATGATATGGACTGTAAATGTAATGCTTTTGTCAGAATAGGGTGAATGCATTTAAATACAGATTTGCTTATCTGCTATAATCTTGAATACTGGGTAAAGATGTTTCCTTTTTTCTATGTTTGGATTTGTTCTTTTAGGTACTTGACCATTTGGTCATTCAGAAGCTAAATGCTGAGGGAAGACTGGAGAAGAAAGAAGCTAAAAAAGCTAGTACATTTGACAAGGTAAATTGACAGTATGGTTTCTGTTTTCTTCGTAATGAGAAGTTGGTAATATCACATGTATTTGTCCTTCACTTTTTTTAGTTTATTTGATTTAGAAAATGTGCACTTTTTAATACAGTTAATACTTGTAACCTCTCAAAGTTATGTTTTCATTGCAACAGAATGAGCTATCAGCTATTTTGAGGTTTGGAGCAGAGGAATTGTTTAAAGAAGAGAAAAATGATGAAGAAAACAAAAAGAGGCTTTTAAGCATGGACATTGATGAAATTCTTGAAAGAGCAGAGAAGGTCGAACAGAAGGGACCCGAGGAAGAACAAGGGCATGAATTACTGAGTGCATTTAAGGCAAGTATATGATATGCTTTCTGCAGTAACTAGTGTATTGGATGTAAACAGCTTGTCTTTATGTTCTTTCAAAGAGATGTATATTTTTTTTTCTAGTTTCCTCTTATATATGGCATTATTTATTGGTAGCTCTTTCCGATACATGGCTGTATATAGATTTACCTTTGTGTTTGTCATCTTCTATGATATTTACAGGTTGCTAATTTTTGCTCTGCTGAAGATGATGGAAGTTTTTGGAGTCGATGGATAAAACCTGATGCAGTTTCGCAGGCTGAGGTATGTTTATGTCATTCTACCACAAGAATGATGGATTCTTTCATCTTGTTTTAGGAATACTGCTCTGGGATAGTAATAAATATATTCAAATGATGTATCCAAGATTTAGTTTTAATAGAATTTGGTTTTTTGCAATATAGGAAGCTTTAGCCCCTCGAGCTGCAAGAAGCAGCAAGAGTTATGCTGAGGCCATCCCATCTGAAAGGGTCAACATGAGGAAAAAGAAGGGTGTTGAATCTCAGGACAGAGCCATAAAGCGCCGAAATGCTGACTATTCTGGTTATTTGCCCCCACCACTTGAGGGAGCTTCTGCACAAGTAAGAGGGTGGTCATATGGGAGCTTGCCTAAGAGAGATGCTACTCGTTTTTTCCGTGCGGTGAGACTTGTATTCATGCTTCATATCTTTTAACGCTTATGCACATTGTTGGCTTGATTAAATTTACAAGCCTTTTGGTTTATCTTAGACCAGCTGCAATGCTCTATCTTGGAGACCCACAGATATCATGCAGTTCAACCTATTTCAGGGCTTTAACATGAGCAGCATCCTTTCATACTCCTACACTAGGCCAGTTTTATATTTTATTCACTACGCCCAGAAAAAAGCAATTATATAAAAGCAATGGTCGTTCTACCTTCACTGTTCCTGGTAATGCCGTATTGGTTGCGAGCCTCATATTGTAACTGATTATGGAAATGAGCAAACTATATCTGGTGACATTACCTCATCTTCTCCTCAACCAGTATGGCATCTCCTAAATATCATTATTTCTAATTCTTTTTAGGTTTCGTGCATGTATGTTTTCATAATATTCCTTTTCGTTATTTTTACTTGTTAACACCTGACTACGACTCTACTTCTGTGCTGCCGTACCAGATAAGGATTTTTACTATAATAACTTGCTTATCCCACTTAATGGGTACTAAAGGTCGAGTTTGGTGCTGCATTTCTAGTATTGGGTTCTTCTTCAGGAGCATAAAATTATACACGTATACTGTGCGTATATGATTGTAAGCCAATTATGTGCCTTTGCATTTAAATATATGCCCCATCCTAGTGCTAGAAGTGCAGAAGATGCAATATAGGTACTCTATTTTCCTCTTCACTATTTTTATTCCTACTGAAAGTTTGGTCACCATAGCTTCCATCCATGCTGCTTTCATGTATTGTATTCAGCTTAAATAAATAGTTGATCTCTAATTATGTGAGCATGGGCGGAGCCATCTCGTGCAAAGAAGACTGTCAAATTTAAATCATAAAACAATCTCAATGGACAATTTCTTGAATTGGTGTCATAATTTCACTCAAGAAGAAATTACCGAAGTGTCATTGTATATGTTACAGGTAGAGCCCATCCTCCCAGGAGGTCAAGGGTTCATACCTCACCAAAGATTAGTAGTGTGCGTGAGTACTTCAAGTTTTTTATTGATGTTAAATTGAGAAAAGTATTAATTGAGCCGTTGGTGAAAGACCTGCATGGAGCCGAGCCCTTCTCACCTAGCTGCTTATATTTTTGCCTAGAAAATTTGTTTCTTGGGGTTCTGCTTTTGGATTTGATTTTAAAGTCATACAGTTCAAACCTCACCAAAGATGAGTAGTGTGTGTGAGTATTTGCCATATATAAATATTATGTACTTTAAAAAAAATTATTGATGTTAAATTGAGAACAATATTATTCTTATATTTTTGCATAGAAAATTTTGTCTCTTGGTGTTTCATCTTTGCTTTTGATCCTAAACGTAATTTTTTTGTGATGAAGGGGCTGTTTGGCAATTGCTGAATGATTTGGTGCAGAATGATTAGGTGGTCAGAATGATTAAGAGACTCTCATGATATAGTGCAAAATGAAATATAATTGTTTGGTAATTGTGTAAAATGAAATTAGGGCTCATAATGGTTAAGGGAGATCCAGGATACAAAATCATTCAGAGGGTTTTAGAACCATTAAGAGGCAGACTTTTTTTTTGCCAAACAAGATTCACCTCTTAACCATTCAGATGTTGCCTCTTAATGGAACTATTAAGAGGTAAACAAACAACCCCGAAGACATCCTAAGAAAGTGCAAGTAAATTATCATGATTAATTATATTTAGTTTTTTTTTTTTGATTAACCTGGATATCCAACCGGCTATGCGAGCCGAGCCGACTAATCCCAGGTCGACACCTGCTTTGCAGATAGCCTGGAGTCACGGCATTTGAACATCCGTGGCCACAAGGGGATTTTTATTCCTCCTTGGATTTGAACCTGGGACCTCCTGGTACTTTTGACCTTTGGAGCCAAGCTCAAACCAATCAGGCACCACCCTTGTGGTTTTATATTTAGTTTTTCATGTAAGAGTATCTTTGTTCATAGTATTTATATGTCATCTGTAACCTGCCAGTTATAGCAATGATTTTTCTTAACCTTAACAAACTGTTTGGTATGTGAGACTGCATGTGGTGTTCTCCTATTAACATGATCATGTATTTACATTCCTTTTTCTTTGTTAGTTTCAGTATCATTGGTAGAAGATACATGTAGGGGTTAAGCTCTTTGAACTCTGAAAAAGGTGGTCTTGCTGTACCAAAGTAACATAATTTTTTATGTTCTTCTGAAACTAGGTCAAGAAGTTTGGTAATGATAGCCAAATTAGCTTAATTGCAGCTGAAGTGGGTGGGTCTGTTGAAGCTGCTCCTGTAGAAGCTCAAATTGAGCTCTTTGATTCATTGATAGAGGGTTGCAGAGAAGCTGTTAATGTAGGAAGCCTAGACCCAAAGGTTGTCATCATGTTAGGGTTTTTAGATTGTTTGTTTGCTAAATGTCTGCTTTTAGGCTAACGCTTGGCTTAACGTCACATGTTTAGGGACCTCTGTTGGATTTTTTTGGTGTTCCAGTGAAGGCTGATGATCTGTTAAGCCGTGTTGAAGAACTTCAGCTTCTGTCGAAGCGCATTAGCCGCTACAATGATCCAATCTCACAGTTTCAGGCTTTGATGTACCTTAAACCTGCAACTTGGTCTAAAGGTTGTGGGTGGAACCAGAGTGAGTTTTGCTGCTACCTTCCCAGCCTTTTTTCTTTTCCAAGTGTTAATGGTATTTGTGCTTGAACGTGATGGATGGATTATAATATTCTCTGTTGATGTCTTTAGAGGATGATGCAAGATTGCTATTGGGGATTCACTATCATGGATTTGGAAACTGGGAAAAGATTAGATTAGATGAAAAACTTGGCCTTTTGAAAAAGATTGCTCCGGTGGAACTTCAGCATCATGAAACTTTCCTACCACGAGCTCCGCAGTTAAAAGAAAGAGCTTCTCAACTTCTTGAAATGGTAGGTGCTTGCTTGTGTACCCTTTTTCTACATGTTTTACGTATTTTATCCTCAAATATTCATCATAGCTTGTCTATTAATTGACAATTCTGTGGATTTTGGAAGGAACTTGTTGCTGTTGGTGGGAAGATTTCAGGGGCCAAAGGTGGTCGAAAGGGTTCTAAAAAGCAGAAAGACCATCTTCTTCCCAACATCCCAGTTGCTCAAAACAAAGGCGGCAGACAATGGAAAGGGGGATCTCCCGACCTCCTAAAAGTCCCAAGGAGTAGGTTGAAGTCAACACGTGCCCAGAAGAAGAACGAACCTTTGGTTAAAGAGGAAGGCGAGATGTCAGATACGGAAGAAGTGTATGAACAGTTCAAGGAAGTGAAATGGATGGAATGGTGTGAAGATGTCCTGATTGAGGAAAGAAAGACACTCGAGCGTCTTCACAGGTTGCAAACTACTAGTGCTGATCTTCCTAAAGAAAAGGTAAGAGTTATTTCCACCATCTTATATAACTTGTGCCACCTAGAATAAATGTTCTTTTTTTATCGTTTTAATTTTCTTTTTTCAGGTGCTTTCAAGAATTAGAAACTATCTGCAGCTTCTTGGGCGAAGGATTGATCAAATTGTTATTGACCATGAGGAGGATCCATGTAAACAAGAAAGTAATGTTTATTTGCCATTTTACCATTTATTTGCACAAAACTTCACACCATCTGTTTGTTAGCAGCTTAAGAGCATCTCTAACAGATTCTCTATAATTTTATCTAAAAGAATTGCATTCAACTCCAACAGATTCTCTTTTTTAGAGAATTTCAACATTAACTATATTATGAAAATATTGTATAACTTGTCATTCCAATACATTTGAAAAAACTTCATATAAAAAACTAATAAATAAATCTCGTTGGTGGGGAATATCAAAATAACATTTCTCTCCTCAATAGAGAGTTTTAGAGAATCCTCTATATATGGAGTTTTCTTTAGAGTTCTCTATTTTAGAGAACAAGATAGAGAACCTGTTGGAGCAAATATAGAAAACCAAAACTCCATCTTCTTTATTTTAGGAATCTGTTGGAGATGCTCTAATGAGCTTAATGGCACTTCCAACTTATTCGATCAGCTGTACATGACTGTTTGGTAGTGATAGAGAGTGGCTTATTCAGTAAAGCTTATTTTTGGGGGGGGGGGGGGGTGAGGTTTATGCAAAAAGTCTAGTTTTTTCCAAACCTGCCCCTCCCAATAAAAAAACATGCTTCTTCCATCTATGAAAACCCTCGCATACAAAAACCTTCCCTATTTATGAACAAGCCCTCCCATACCAACCAAACAGCCCCTTAAATCTAATATTGATGTTGAACTGCTTAAGCATCCACTTACTCTTGTATAACCTGTTGTTTTTTTTACTTGTGTGTGATATCATTTGTCAATATAAAAATCTGCTAAAATTGATGAATGATCCGTTGACAGGGATGACAACCCGACTCTGGAACTATGTCTCCACATTCTCAAATTTGTCAGGAGGCAAACTTCACCAGATCTATTCGAAACTGAAACAGGAGGGAAGTTCTTCCCACATAAACACGAGAGGTGAGAGTCGAATACTTAACAAGGGTGGTCTTGACACAGCAAAATTCGAAGCATGGAAAAGGAGGCGGCGATCTGAAGGGGAGTTCCATAGACCTTCCAATAATGGTAATGGTACGGTTATACCTGATCCAAGTTCAGGTATTCTTGGTCCACCGCCATCTGATTCAAACCGGCAGCGCCACCACCCTGGTTTTGGTCCAAGACCGGGTGTCAAGTAGATTCAAATATATTCTCTGGATTTTTGCGATCAGGGAATGATTTTTTTGCAGATTCATTTAGTTGTGACTGAAGCCGCGAAGCATCTTCAGAATGCATTCATAAGCAGTGTGAAAACTTTGCTTGAGATGAAAACCTAAAGGACAAAGAGCATAGGATGGAAGTCTGTGTTTTTTGTTTGTTTCTTTAAATATAAATGGAGGGAAGTTGGTTAATTTTGTATATAATGAATGGTGGGGTAGTTGAAGGATTTTAGAGAGCCCATTTGAGATATAGGTCTATGTATTGCTCATACCAAATTGTACACTATCTGGTTTTGAAATCATAGTATTTTGCTATGCTGACCTACTACTACATATTTTATTCACATTGCAGCAAAGTGAGAGCTTTCTTCATGTAGATGATAATAATCTCTCAAAATTTGAGACTCATTGGTCATCTATGGTTATGCAATCAAGTGGAGATGGTGATTGAAATGTAAGGTGTTAAATGCCATTTGTGCTACCGAGAGATGGGCACTTCTTTAACCGGTTGTAGCTTAATCTGATACGGTCGATCTTTTAACAAGTCCGTTGACTGATGTGCAAGGGCTATGTGATTCTTTTCTTTCAAAAAATCGGCCGTTGATATTTTTCCGAAACAAGTTCTATTAGAAGAACAATAAAAAGGAGACTAGAAGAACTGCGTATTCTTATTAATAATAAACCCTTTGAATAGGGAAGATTACATAGAGATAATGATGGAAAATAATTTACTCCATAAATAACTCTAAATATTTATGTTTATATCTATCGTCACATCTTTTTGACAGTGACACTTATCCTACAAAACTCTTCCTTGTGCCGAGTCAAGGGAATAATGATGCACGATTATAGCCTCGAAACCTTGCACTGAGGAACAAAACTCAGTGGCAGAAATAAAACCTTGGGTGAAGGAAAGAGACAACGTACGAGTATTACATTTACATATATAGTAGACTTCTCCTTTTGTCTATTTCTCCCCCTAACTTGTGCATTAAGCAAGGGAGTTTGGAAAGTCTCTACATTCCAATCTTCCTACATGTTTTTCAAATATGGTTTTAGGTAATGATTTGATAAACAAATATGTCAAATTCTCTTTGCATCTTGCTTGATTCATTTAAATCTTGAGGAGAGTTTGTTATCGTTGATTCTATAGAACCTATGCAATATAGGCTTTATGTTAGCATCCTTGATGTATCATATTTTGAATTCTTTGATACGCGATGGTTTATGTTATTTTCATATATGCAGGTAGGATAGTGGTAGAACTCAAACCACTAGCTAATACGTGTAGAGCAGTGAGCTTTCTCCATTACTCTATCTCTTTTCATCTGGTAATTCCTTTATAGAGCAGTGAGCTTTCTCATGTTTAGCATAACATTGTCGTGTTCTTTCAAATAGGCCAGCACTTTCTGCTCACTCTTCTCTATGTTGGCCTCAAGCTCCTTCTTTTGCTTCTCTATCCTTGCCATCCAAATGGCATCTCTTTCCTCCAGCTTCTTCAACAGGACTTCCTGATGCTTCTTCATATCTTTTACTACATACAAGAATGAGTTGGTGACAATGTTAGGCTGCGTGGTTGGTGCTAGTGCTGGTCAGGATCTGATTTAGGTATCCTCCTTGTTTTGGTTGAAGTACCAGCAACAGGGGCATGGCTGGTCTTTTCAGTAGCCATATCATGTGCTGCAGCAATGGCAGTCTTCTTCATTGCTTTCTCTACAATTTTCTTCAGTCTCTTGATTGTTTGAATTTCAATCACAGTTTTTCATGTCATAAACTCATCGGTAGGCAAAAATCTTACCTTTTCCCTGGTTAGCAGTGTATGAATCAATGATGGATGCCAAAGGTCTCCTTTGATCTTCTCTACACAAGACTTGATGCTTTTACAAATGACCTCTCCATACTGAATCTTTTTTCAGTTATAATGCAGTACAAGATCACCATTCTCTCAAATGTCAGGGTAGAATCATAGGTTGTTGGTTGAAGGGTGTATCTAAGAAAGTAGAACGAAACACTTACCATAGGAGAAGGTCCCTACTATATAAGGTTATAAAGACCTTGTCTTCCATGTCTTGCCAGGTTGTGTAAGAGTCAACAACACCTTCCTGGCATCTTTTTCATTAGCATTGGTCACCAATTGATTATATTCACAAGGGGTGGGTGGAATAATTTCAAATATGTTGTCAATGATGGCAGGGGCATAAGACACATCAGTGCCCCTAACCCTTACTGTATGGATTTTGAATGTAGCAACCTCAACATAGAATTCCCGTATAAAGGAGAGGTTAAATCCAGTAGGTACAACACAAAAAAATCTCATCTAAGTCTGGTAATAGCCTCTTGGATGAATGGAATTCCTTCAAACTTTCAGGGCTAAAGCCCTTGTCAACCAATGCTTCTTTGAAAGCCATATTACCAAAGTGGTCATATGCTTCCCTACAACTAAAAGTACCAAAGAAGATATTCATTCTCCCAGACTTTCTTTGATTGGATTGTGGTGATACTACCTTCCTTTTCTTGGCAACTGTCTTCCTTGATGTCTGAATCTGCTCAGCCACTCTTGCTTCATTCTCCTTCTCAGATTCTGCAGCCATCTCTTTACTATTAACAACAACATCTTCATCATGAGAATCTTCACCCTCAGAACTTTCCTCTTCAGAATCAGTGTAGTTCACTATCCCTTTTCTCTTTTTTCCTCCAGCATCAATATCCTTGGTGGCTTTGGTCACCATATTCAGAGTCTCATCTTCCCTCTTTATTGGTTGTGATTTTCCAAGCAACATGGGTTCAGGGCTAACTTGCTTGGCTTCTTTGGGCTTCAAAATAGATTTAGTCTTGGTTTTGGCTTGGGCAGAGGTTGTCACCGGATTGCTTTCCATTGTAGGAGCAGTGGTGGACTCTCCTAGAATGAATGGAGTCGCCTGGAACGCCTCATCAAGAATATGGGATGATGGTGGATTGGGTTTATCAACAACATTGGGTAGATTTTCTTGGTTATGAGTAGAATGCTCATCTGTTTGGGGACTTGGGGGTATAGGAAAATGACCACCAAGCAATAAGACTTGACTTTCCTCATTTGTGGGTGATGTAGGTTTCTTGTTAATGTCAATGTTGAGGGCTTTGTGGCTAGAAGAACTGGTAGAAACATAATGGGATGAAGTTTTGGAAGTGGAATGTTGGGTTGTACCTTGATCATCAGCCCCTATTTTGAGCTTCTTCAATGGTGGTTTTCTAGTCGATGATAACCTAGCCATTGTCTTTGACAGTGGTGCTTCGACAACAACAGACAAAGCGACTTCCATGGCTTGAGATTATGGTGCCTTCTTCCTCAGATTTCTTCGAGTTAGTTGATCAACAATGGTTCTTCCTTCTCCCTTATTTGTTTTTGGTTTTGCTCTCCCCATTTTGGTTTTTCTTTGAATACCCCTGCACTACACAGTAAACTAACAAATCCTTTTGAAAAAGAAAACTAGTAAAAAGTGTAGTTTGGATTCAAGTTGGTACTGTATGTAACAAAATCATGGGCTATTTGGTTGGGATAGAACAAAATAAAGGGGAGTTGAGAGGTTATGGTAAGAAAAAAACTAATCAAGGGTTGCTATTAGTACAAGATGGTTTTAGGTAATCATGTTACTAGCATGGGAAAATGTTGAGAATCTGATTCTTACTACCAAAAAACTGCTTTTATACAAAGCATCTTTACAGACTCTTGAGTGTATTTTCAGCTGACAAGACTTGTAGGCCAGGTGCAGGTTGTTGCAGCACTACAAGAAATTACTATAGCAATTGTACCTTTTTCACAAAAATCTTGTTATTAAAAAAAACAGAACTATCCAAACCTTCTAAAATAAAATACTTGTATTTACATATGTACTTTATTTAAAGGCCATGTCAGCCTTCACCATTAAACTCTAGGAATGAGTGAGGTGTACCACATATGTGGTACCTGTGATTTCAGCAGCACCATTATAACATTGCACCCTTTGACCATTCACTTTGAAAATAGATCCATTGTTGGAGTCAATGAGTTCCACTACTCCATAATGATGGACTTTGTGAACCTCAAATGGCCTTGTCCATTTGGATCATAGTTTTCCTGGAATTTTTTTTAATCTTGAGTTAAAGAGTAACACCTTTTAGCCTGCTACAAACTCTCTTTGAGACATCCTTTTATCATGCCATTTTTTGTTTTTTTGGTAAATCTTGGCATTCTCATATGCTTGATCTCTCAACTCCTCAAGTTCATTGATTTCTTGCTTTCTTCTTTCACCTGCAGCATTTACACACATATTAAGCTCTTTCAAAGCCCAAACAGCTTTGTGCTCAAGTTCTAGTGGTAAGTGGCAAGCTTTTCCAAAGACTAGCTTGTAAGGAGACATTCAAATAGGGGTCATATAGGCAGTCCTATAGGCCCAATGAGCATCATCAAGTTTGAAGGACCAGTCCTTCCTTGTTGGTTTTACCACTTTCTCTAGGATACTCTTAATCTCCCTGTTTGAAAGTTCAGCTAAGCCATTTGTTTGAGGGTAATAAGCAGTAGCTATCCTATGGCTTATGTTATACTTTTCAAGAACTCCTTTCATCATGTTGTTTACAAAGTGGGTACCCTCATCACTGATCATAGCTCTGGGAGTACCAAATCTTGTAAAAATTTGCTTATACAAAAATTTAACTACTGTCTTTGCATCATTGGTGTGAACAAGCTGCAGCTTCTACCCATTTAGATACATAATCTACAGTTACCAAAATGTATTGATAGTTTCCAAGCATGGGAAATGGTCCCATAAATTATATTCCCCATACATCAAAGAGTTCTACTTCAAGAAAGCCATTTAAGGGCATTTCATGTCTTTGGGAGATGGATCCAACCCTTTGACATTCATTACACCTTTTGACAAAGCTATCAACATCTTAAAATAGGGTTGGCCAGAAAATCCAGATTGTAGGACTTTGCCTGCAGTTCTTTGGCCACCAAAATGGCCACCATATGCAGCAGAATGACAATGCTGCAACACTACAGGCACATCATCATGAGGTATACACCTTTTAAAGATCTGGTCAGCTTCTAACTTAAACAAAAATGGGTCGTCCCATAGATAACTCTTTGCATCATGGAGTAACTTCTTTCTTTGGTTCTTATTTAGCTTAGGTGGTATGATCCCAACAGCCAAGAAATTTACAATGTCTGCAAACCATGGGGCTGTAGAATGATTCAGCGTTAAGAGCTGTTCATCTGGGAATTTTTCATTGATTTCACTAGAACTTGATTCTCCTTTCTATAATCTTGATATGTGATCAGCAACTTGGTTATTTATTCCTTTCCTATCCAATATT